GTTTCTTTGGTGTCCCCAGCTCTAAAATGTTGTAATCAGAGTACGGAAAGGGTGGGAGAAGGCATGCTGGATGCCAGCTGGCCAGGAAAGACAAAGGATGAACCCTTCTAGCAATGGRTAATGAACTCTGTCTGACCTGTACTACCAGAGCCTCTGCACAGAGTTACCCATGCTTCCCTCAACATCCTTCCACTCAAGTTCCACTCAGTCACTTGGGATCCTCTATTTTAAGCAATTCCTAGCAAAATGTCCTAAATACAGAAGTGACTAGTGTTTACTGGCTTCATGTGTAGCTTTAACAAAATACAATGACACCCAAAGGATGTTTCCTACCTTGCTTAATACTCACCAATTTTATAACATCTCTGCATTTTTAAAAATCAGGACAATTAAGTAAAAAGGCAGACAACATTCTCTGTTCCTAGCCTTTACAAGGTACCACTAATGATCTCCCTGAAGCTCTTCTGATCAGGTCCCTATCCACAAACATGAAGACATAAACAGAGGGAAAACTTCTACCAGCTCACTCCCATCCTTCAGATTACCTTCTCTAGCGGTTCAGGCAAGCAAATTATTTACTTTAATTCTGTTCTCCTTTATCCCAAGACCAAATTTGACTGCCCTGCTGGCAGAAAAACCTTCAGAACAAGGAACATCTTTGAGAACCTTCTGAAGTAGTACTGCGTCTTTTCGTCTTCTTATTTTGTTTTTAAACTCTCTTCACAGCTATTATTACCACCCRAAATTCTTACATATTTAATGTCTGCAGTCCATCTCCAGAGCAGACTCCTCTATCTTGTCCACCACTGCATCTTCCATGCTTATAGCAGTGCCTATAAACACTGGTTACTGAAAATCAGAACATACACAGAAGGACCTTAATCCATATTCAGGGATGTGACATTCRAACATGGAAATCATCTTCCCACTGGGCTAATATTCAAGTGTTCCATAGAACAGATATCCTTTCCTACAGAACCTAGATGTGCATATTGCAAGGAGGATATTTCCCCCAAGAGCTAATGTTTTCTCTTCCTTAAAGATGTTTTCTACATAAAGATGCCTCAGATAATAAGCCACAGACATACTAACAACTTATGTTATGTAGTGCATCTTCCTGATGAGTGGTGCACACCACCTGCAACACCAGCATAGTTCTACTGTCCAGAGTCCTGTGTTTGTTGTCATGAGAGCCTTTTCACCCATACTGAAGGTACTATGGGTATTAAAGGACTTTAATACTCAGGATGTAGCTCAGTGGTAGAGTACCTGTGTAGCATGCATGAGGCCCTCGGTTCCATTCCCAGCAGGGGGGGTGTAAGAGGCAGGACATTCAAGAGCCTTATAAAATTATACTTGAATATGAAGAAAGCAATGATGGAAGCCCCAGGTAGATGTGATGATTGCTAAAGTGCCATGAACACAAAGCCCCCAAGAGGAAGTGTGCTTAAGTCATACTGAGGAAAGGACTGTCTTTTGTAAATATATGTATCAAGACCCATCTGGTCAAAGTAAGAGCAGCCACAATGTGATTCCTGTGCATTGTAAACCACTAACAGGAAGACAGACAGCATTTTATGTACTATATAATTCTTTGAGTTGATATACAAGTTTTCAGCTCAAGACAGAATGGAAGAATTGGGTATGAAAGAGAAACCTCTTACAGATTAAATCTCAGGCACACAGGCCAAACTGGCCAGGTAGAGGGAAAGTGAAAGTTCAGAACATTCCCAGGGGCCACAAAAGTAAAAGCAGTCACAAAATCATGCTTTCCAGTATTTTGCCCAAGTCCAGGTTTCAGGTTCATCACAGCTTTWAAAAAAAAAAAAAAAAAGGCGCAGGGGGTKGGGGGGTGGGCAACAGGAASATAAAAATTCCAGGACCACATCCATATCTACCACTAGCTGATTTTTGCCTTGAACAGGCAGTGAACTGTAACAGACCTGGTACAGGCTTTGAAGCCAAGAGGAGGGCTCCATCCAGACCCTGACTCTCCTTGACTCAATAATTGTTGAGGAAAAGGGAAGCTGAAGTACTTCTCAGGTCTGCTGGATGGCTATTGTAAGACAATTCAAAATACCTTGAACATGCAGCCGAGCATGGCTGGCGCATGCCTATAATCCCAAGGACTTGGGAGGCTGAGGTAGAAGATCCACAAGTTTGAGGTCAGCCTCAGTGACTAAGCAAGACTGTAAACAACTTAGTGAGACCCTGAGGGGCTGGGGATGTGGCTCAGTGGTAAAGCACCTCTAGGTTCAAGTCCCCAGTACCAAAAAAAAAATCAAACAAAAACAAAACAACAAAAGTCTTGGACAGAGCCTAGCATGTRTGTTTGTGGAGTTTGTTTTGATTTGGTTTTGTACTGGGGACTGAACCAAGGGGTGCTTTAACACAGAGCAACATGTCCATCCCTTTTTAATTTTTTTATTTTGAGACAGGGTCTATAATTTTGTTGCTGAGGCTGGCCTCAAACCTGTGATCCTCCTGCCTCAACCTCCTGAATCACTGGAATTATAGGCATGCACCACCACACCTGGCAGTTTTTTTTTTTTTTTWAATACAACTGTTAATATCCTTTTCTATCTATATGAAGATGCTGAAGTTACCAAGAGCCTAATTCTAATTTTCTGGTCAAAACAGATGTGATCATGCCAACTATATTCCTTTTTATTTTATATCATTAAGAAAAAGGTATACCGCTAAGGTTACGAAACCTAAAAGTTCAAGTCTCCTAACAGTTTACTTAAATTTAGCAGCCTTCTCTCACATACATACACACAAATTACCTCAGTAGAATAAGTTTTATAATTTTCCCCTATAAGTTACAAGCGAACATAATATATACATGGGAATGTGATAAGTACTTATAATTTTGAGTAACTATGGTTGTTTAAAATGTTTTTTTTTAAGAGAGAGTGAGAGAGGAGAGAGGGAGAGAGGAGAGAGAGAGGAGAGAGAGAGAGAGGAGAGAGAGAGAGAGAGAATTTTTAATATTTATTTTTTAGTTCTCGGCGGACACAACATCTTTGTTGGTATGTGGTGCTGAGGATCGAACCCGGGCCGCACGCATGCCAGGCGAGCGCGCTACCGCTGAGCCACATCCCCAGCCCAACTATGGTTGTTTAAATCTAGGGTTAAGTAACCAGTAACTAAGGTTTAAACTGCACACAGTCATAATTCAAATCCTAATAGAATAATTGCTTATTTGTAAAATTTCAAATAATTCGTCTGTGTAACCATTAAAAAAAAAAAAAAGTGACTATATGATAAGCCTGATGTTAGCACAAAAGAAAACCTCTACCAACCCATCTCCAAAAGTGTCATTGTGAGCACAGCTTCCAACCACCCTAAGATCCTTCTGGAAACCATGTGGACTGAGTAAAAAAGTGAATCTAAGAAAGGCATATTACACCACATTAAGTACATGTCCCTCAAGTATCACTAAAAATTTAAGACAAGCAAGACCAAATTTGAGGTTGGTCTAGAAGTACTTACCAGTCAAAAGCATGGCCTAAGGCCCTCACACACCATAAAATAAGTGAAACTAATTGGGGTTCTTCAGCATCTGTGAGGCGGCATCTTGCTACCATTAAGGGATAAATCGGGGATGCAAATAATAGTGCACCCTGAGGTGACAGTTAATTCCTCTAGCCTACCATTTCACAGGAGATTTTATGGATGCCTACTTCACCCCGACTGAGAATACCAAAGCTGGAAATTTCAAAAGCTAGCCAAATGTCCCACTGAAAGAACTTTAAATAAATGTCTCTACAATCCCCAGCAAAGAAAGATCTTCGAACCTACAAAGACCCTGTTGCACACTAGCCACACTTGCAAAGTATTCAAACATTCTCTGAATTTTTTTTCTGAAAACTCTTTCATAAAGAAAAAAATATATAAGGCGGACTTGGCATAGAACAGAATAACAATACTGTACAGTTTCTGTTCTGAAGCACAGAACAGCACCTGGGATTTGAGGAAAGCCTACCCTGGCCAACTTTTACGCTCTGGTGGAAAAGAGGCTGGAAGCTAAAGGGCAGGTTTTTTTCAAAGCCAGGTTAGGTAGAGCTAGTATTTCTCGAAAAGTTGCCTATGGACAAATGAAAGCACAAAACAGGCAAGCCCTCAAAACAAAACGACATAACGCCAACCGAGGCATTCAACGAATGGGGAAACGGGGCCTTGGGAGGGGCGGTCACTTGCCCTGGGTTACAGTTTATTTGGTGGTAAAGCTGGAAGCAGAGTCCTGGTCTCCCAGGTGGGAATTCAGTGGTTTCGCATTCACCAAGCTGCCACCCCACGTGAGGATGTTTTATAAAACTCTTCACTCTTCACTGAGGCTGTTAACATAAGGGTCCAATTATCATTCAAAGATCAGCCAGTTAGATAATAGCTCAAAAATTCCATCCATTTTACAGCATTTACCAGAGTCATCTAATCTCCTAGGGCAAAGGAAAGCAAAGGAAAGAGAGAGATCCTGATTTTGACCTGTCCCCTAAGGGCAAACCACAGGGAAGGATAGAGACAGAGCCGAAGCCCCCACCCACAGACCCAGGAGGGCGGCCGCTCCTCGCCACGGCCCCCCCCCCAACGCACCGAATTCCACTCCCACCGCGGCGCACCCCCGACGTTCCACCTCCCGCCGCAGCCCGAGCGGGTCGGCAACTCGCCCTCAACCACCGCTCGGCCCCRAGAGGAGGGATGAGGCGCTCAAGCCGCAGGTCCGCCAACGATCCCGCTCGCAGAGCCCGCGGCGGCGGAGCGGGGAGAGCCACAGGAAGTGTGTCCTGCGCCCGCAGCTCGCGCCCCGGCGGGTACCTGCCCTCCGCCGCCAGCAGGCGAGCAGCAGCCGCGTCCACATGGCTTCAGGTGTTCCAGGGCCGCGGCCCGCGCTCCGACTCCCGGGCGCCCCGGCGCGGCTCCCTCCCGCGCGGCCCCTCCCCGCGCGGCCCTCCGCCCCGCCGGCCTCGCCTCCGGCCCGCAGCGAAGCGCCTCGGGTCCCCCCGGGACGGTCGCGGGCCCCGGCTGTGGCGCGCACCCCGCAGCCCCCCGGAGCCGCCCGTTCACACCCGCCGCTTTTGCACTCCAGGCCGCGACGAGCAGGTACTCCTCCCCGCACCCTCTGGCTGTCCCGGCGCCGCCGGACCCCTCGCCCCGGGCTAGGCCGGGCCCAGTCCCCCGCAGTCCCGGGCCGGGACAGTGCCCTCATCACCCCCGCCCCCGGCGCGGACTCCGGGGGCTCCCTCTCCCAGGTCCAGCCAGGCAAGGAGCCCTGCGCCGGCCGCGAGGGCAGACAGCTCGGCCCGCCCCGGGCTGACCCCTCCCCCGGCCCGGGCGGCGGTTACCTGCGGGAGCCCCCCCGCCCCGTCCCTCGGCCTCCGCCGGGGGCGGGAGGGGAGGGAGCGGCGGTGGCGGGCGGCGCTGCGCGGGGTGGGGGTGGGGGTGCCTCCGCCGCCTCCAGCTCGGACGCCCGGGCCGGCGGCGGGGCGGGCCGGGGCCGCAGCCCCACGAGGCTCGCTCCGGCCCGCGCGCTCGCTCGCTCGCTCCTCGGTCGGGCACGCCTCAGGGTGGGCTCCCCCGGCGGAGGCCGCGGCCGCCTCGCAGGGGCCGAAAGCGGCTCGGCTCGGGGTTTTTTCTCTCCATTCTCCCAACACACAGGAAATAACAGAGCGTCAGGTGACGGCGCGCGGCCAATAGGGAGGCTCCGGGCCGCGGCGCGCGGGCGGGCGGGCGAGCGCGCGGCGGGGCGGGGCGCGCGGCGGGGGCGGGGCGCAGGGGGCGGGGCTGGCGCGCGCGTGCCCACCCGCGTGCGGCGGCGTCGAGGCCAGCGCGCGCCGCGCGGAGGCCGCCGAGACTCTAGCGGGGCGGCCGGGGTCGCGTGGGRTGGGCTCTAACACTGCTGAGCGCAGCACGCCGCCCTCCCGGGGCCTTCTTCGGGGTGGCCGGGAGCCAACTTTCTGGGGAGTTGGTGGCCTGGAATCTCACTGGGATTTCTGGAGTTCCCTGGAGCCTCCAGTGCCAGAGTCGCGCCTTTCAGCAGCCTGGGGAGGCCGCGGGCGAGGGCCGGGTCTCCTCCCCGCAACGGTGTAGTCGGGCGGGTCCTGCCAGCCAAGCACCCTTGGCCCTGGGGAGCCCAAGGCCGTGCCAGGCCGGCCTGGTTTTCTTGCCTCAGCTCCATGGCGCCTAGTTTCTTTGGACTTGCTCCTTCTGAGCCTCTTTTTCCTCCGCAGTAAAAGCGAGGGGCAGCAGGAGGGAGACTGGGCTACCTACCTCACCAGACGYTCCACAAATGCCAGTTGACTTCTCCAGCTGCGGCATTGAGAAGCTGCAGTGTCTGGCAGGCCGGACCCAGCGTCCACGACAGACTTGGGAGACTTGCAGTGCCTCTACCTCAGCCCCTGCCCAGCCTTCTTTGCAAACCTGATGTGTTTATAGAGCAAAAGAAGGGCTTGACGTATTTTTTTTTCCCACTAAGAAAAACTGTTGTAGAAAATGGGACCTTCTAACAAAGCGAGGCCARTAAGGATGGGACATGTTTGGAGTATTTGTATCCTGCCTCATACTGGCCCAGTGACCTGGCCAAATTCTCTCTACTTTGCCTCTGTCTCCTAATGGTATAATGGGAAGGAGGAGAGTTTGAATTAGATGTCCCTAATGTGAGCTAAAATAGCTGATTTTTAGGCCAATATCTGTTGTAGATGTTAGGGAAGTATGTGGCTCCCTCTCCTGAAGCAGCCCMGCTTCAAAGTGCATTAGGACTGGAAAAGTGCTTCTGGCAGCAGTTGAGGCCTGGGGTACCTCACTATATTTGAGCTACTTAGCTCCCTGAGGCYGGGATTTACCCTTTCACCTTTCACCCCATTTGGCCAGAGCAGTTAATGCTTTGCTTTGCCTCAGGCCACCCAGGGAGGGCCTGGAGTAGTTCTGGGCACCCTGGCAGGATGTGGTTGGGGAAAGCAGTGATTTCCCCTGGCTTCTGTCCAACCTGTCAAAGGGGGGGACTGCTCCAATGCAGRTCAGACTATTCCTGGGGATTTGATTCCCAATATCTCCTGCATGCCAGGCAGGGTGCCAAACTCTTCCGGGGCAAAGCTGAACAGGCCACCAGGCCCTTCCCTCTGGCTGTTCCCATTGTTCGTCTGTGAGTTTCATTTTCAAATTCTCAGGCACAATGACTTTAAAAAGAGCAATGCCTGGCTTCAGCCTGGGTCAGGGCTGCAGAAGCAAAAGTAACAGGACTCAGCAGGCTCACGCCTTCTGAACAAAAATAGGAGAAGCAGAGGAGCTTCCTGAAAACCACGCTGGGGGCACCCTCGGCTTGAGAGAATTCACAAGGGAAAGGGAAGCCCCTTTCCTCAGCCTCCAGCCCCATCATCCCTCCTTCACTCATTGGTCTAAGGGTTAGGGRATGAGGATAGGAGACAGGCTTCAAGAAAGAATGCAACAGATTGCTGGGTCCAGGCTCTTGGGCATTTCTGCCTCCTGAGATCGACCCTGGCCCCACTTTTAGACCCTGAGATGACTTCTACCTGGAAACTACCCAGTTCCAGCCAAGTCTTCTGGCCTCTGGTGACTTTCCCTTTTGGTATCATTGGGAGGATATGCACAGGCATCATGGACAACAGACAGAAATGTGTTACTCTTATGCTAGGTGGTCACTTCACCTCTCTGAATGTTGGTTTTTTCACCTGTAAGATGGGGATATTATTATTCACACATAGGTGCTATGGGACTCMAAAGAGATTTGCATAAAGAATTCAGTACAGTACCAGGCACATATTAACAGAAGCTACAGTTGCATGATGTGGACACAATGTGACACAGGAGCCAACTGAGGTTTAGAGGGGTTAAGTTACTGCCCAGGGTCCTACAGTCTCAGAAGCTCAATAACTTCCACTTTGGTCACATAAGTATCTCTGTTCTTTTGTTGTTTCAAATGTATGGATCCTGGTTTTCCTTCAGACTGTATACTCTTTAAGGAAAAGACAGTAGATCAGCTGTTCTTTTTTCCCCCTGCTACTAACCCAGTCCACTAAAAAAAAAAAAAAAAAAAAAAACTTATTGAACTTGAATCAGTATCAATTCCAGAAGTAAAATTAATTCTTTCCCTCCTCCTCTGGCTCAAAGATGACTTTTGGAAACCCATGTCACTCCTTTTATTACAAACTCCTCTGCCCTCCTCCAGGCGCCTGGGCCACTCCGGGATTACAAATGGAGCCTTCTGCCTCTAGGTCACTGATTCCGCTACCATCTGTCAGCACCGATTGATTGAGTAGACTGGCCCTGCTCTGCAGATCAGTGACTTGTGCGAAGTGAGCCGGGGTGTTGGTGCCTTCGGCAGCAGGCTGATGTCCTTCCTCTCACTCACTGGCTCTTGAGCATGCAAACAGCCCTCACCTTTATCCTTCACCAGCCCTGGATCTCCTTCCTCTTGGGAGGGGCCAGCTGCTCACAACCCCAGCACACCAAGAGGGAAGCCTGGAAGCCCTGCTTCTCAAGCCTGAGCCCCGGGCTCCGCTTTCAGTCTTCCAGAAGGTAACTCACAGAAATCTCTGGTTAACAGAGAGAACACTCCACACAGCATCCTGCTGGGCCTGTCCCAAGCCAGACACTATCCCTGGTAAAGTGCAGGGGTGGCCTGGTGTGGAGCTTTGTGGGCACCCTCTCCTTCCACCGCAGCACCTGCTGTTTGTGAAGCTCCCAGCCCTGAATGGGGGTGAGGGGTCAGGGGAGACTCTAATGCTGGGGGTAGGGGTGTCCAAACAGGGCCAGGGAATGCCAAGATTAGATATGTGGGCAACAGCCAGCAGCTATGCCCAGGAGGGCTGTACCCAGTACAGAACCCTGAAAGGTATTGTATCTGTGACACACTTGAGCATGAATGTTTCATTAAGTATCATGGTGACCTCTGTTCATCAACTTGCCCCTCCATCTGCTCTCCAGAGCCAAAGATGTGGCTCCCACTGATCACCCTGCGCGCTTGGTGCATGTCCAACTCTCCTAGACTAAGGATTTGTAAGGCAGAGATACCTCTTTGTCTGATGTGAGGTCTCCTATGCAGGGTAGGGCACTGTGTCCACAAAATGACATGTTTATAATGACAATACAGAGCAGGGAACTCCAAGCTGACTAAGAACTGGGTGCTGGACAGATTTCCCTTTATCATCCCAGTTAATGTCTGTAACAACCTGACGAGGTTGGTACTGATGTCACACCCCACTTTACAGATGAGACCTCTGAGTGCAGGGAGTTTAAGTAACTGTTCCTGAGTCACATGGCTTGGAAGAAGCCTAGCAGGGCTAGAACCCAGTCCTCCAGAGCCACCTCTTCGCCATGAGCTCCCTAATACTCAGTAAACACAGGCAAGATGGGCATGGACATGGGCAGCTGGTGGGTCCAAAAGTCTGCAGGTGGACAGGGAAAGAGATGCCAGAAGACAGCAGGGTCAGCCCCAGTCTCTCCCCTCCAGTGATGTGTTCAGGCCTGGAGATGGGGCAGCCTGGGGGCTAGACTCTCAGGCCCCATACCTGGAGGACCTGGCCTGCCTCACAGATAGTGGCCACTGTGCCTCAGCCTCCCCCCGGTGAGCAGACCTGAGAAACTGGAGACCTCTGCAGCCAGGCAGCAGGGGAAGTCACCCTCCACCCCTGGACACTCACTGCCTGGTAGCCGGACTCTCCCTGAGCAGCTGCTGGCATGGTGGTGCCAACACAGGTCACTGAGCTGGGGACCAGCCTGGTCTCACTAATGTGTCATTTTCAGTCAATCATTCAATGGCTCTGAGTCTCAATTGCTTCATCTGTAAATTGAGATTGTGGGGGAAGGGCCTGGTGCTGCCAGGAAGTCAGGTCCCCCATCTGGGTGATGCCACTCACTGGCTCACAGCAAGCTTTGAGGCAGAGATCATTGTCTTCATTGTACAGAGCAGGGAATGGGTGCACAGAGAGGTTAATAGATCCATCCCAAGTTACACAGCTAGCAAAAGGCAGAACTGAAATTTGAACTCAGACTTTTGGCCCCAGAACCTCCAAGCTGCTCAGAACACTACAAAGAGTTAAAGATGAAATGGTGTCACAATAGTAGTGGCAAAGTCACATGCTAAACACTTCACCTGCATTAACCCATTTAATTCTTGAGTAAAAAAAAATCTAACAAGTGGAGGTATTTGTCTTAACGTTCTTGCTTCATTTTGCAGATGAGGAGACTGAGGCACGGAGCAGTGAGGAGGAATCAGAGCTGGAATCCGAACACAGGCTAGTGGGCTGCAGAGCCCCTGCATCTTCGCTTTATCATGAGATAACAATAGGGAGGTTCCTTTCCATTGGGATTATTTCTGCTTGAAAGCACAAGACTTTTAGCCACATCATTGTCTGGGCTCCACAGGAAGGCAGTGCCACATGCTGAGGCATGCTGGGAAAAGACTTTGTTCCATCCTGTTTTGTTGACATGCTCTTCATTTTTAAGCCTGAAACCCAAGCTTCCTGCTAAGATTTCAAATCGTGGAGAAAAAACCCAACCATGATAATGGCCACGACTTCCTAAGCCTCCAGTGTGCCCTGTGCTTGGGGCTCCAGATATGTCATTTAACCTCAACCTTCACAATGACAGGAGCAGCCCCCAGAACACAGCTGGAGAAACTGGAGGTCAGAGTTGCTAAGATGCCTAAAGGTACGCAGCTATTAAGTGGTTTTACCCTTAGGTCCTTGTGCCTGGATTCTCCACTCTTGACCATGGTTGCTGCCTCCCTACAGAGGCTCAGGGGGAGACTGTTCCTGAGCATTGACAGAACTGTTTCTGCTTATCTTCTGCCACAGGCTGGCCCAGGATGCAGGTGTGGTGTGGCCCTAGATGCTGCCTTCTCCGACAGCGGGAGCTGAGAGACAGGGATGCCCATGCTCCCTCCTCTCTCGCTCCCTCCAGTGACTCAGGATAGCCACCCTGCTGTGCTTAAAAAGGCACCTGTCTTCTGGAAGGAGCCCCACCACTGAGGATCCTCATCAATGCCTGTCTCCCCACCAGCTCCTGGGGATAACCRCCAGAGCAGGTGTGCCCTGCCTCAGGACCAGCACAGCAGGAGTCGGGGCTCCTCCGACCCTCAGCCAGTCCTTGACTACAGCCTCTTTTCCCAGCCCACCCATCCCTGCAGCCGACTCATTTCCACCCTAAACCAGCTTTGACCTTACTCTCCCTGGATCAGTGGTTTTCAGTGGGTGCCGAGTGACACCAGAATTCACGTTTGTTCCTGTCTTGGAAGGCAAAGCCCTCATCTGGCTCAGCTCACCTTTCCCACCTTCACTCCTGCCTCTCAGTCTGTCTCTGCCCGACTGTTAAATAGACTGTTCCTGTCCTGAGCCTGCCTGTCCCCAAGGGAGAAATGCCCTTTCCTTTTCTTTACAGATAAGAGCTACCCTCTTTCAAATCTTACTCAGATGCCACCTTCCCCATGAAGCCCTGCCTGTGTACTCATTCATTTACTCAACAAACCCTCACTGAGCCTGTATTACATGTTAGGCATTGGACCCGGTGGCCCTTGTGCTTATGACCCASGGGGCTATACGATGAGGTTAGAAGAGAGTGCCTGGCAGAAGCATTGCATGGGCAAAGGCCCTGAGGCAGGAAGGAGCAAGTAAGTCTCCACAAAAGGGAAAGAGGCCAGAGTAATAAGAGAAAAAGAGGAACTGGAGATGCTGCTGGAGCAGGGAGGAGCAGGCCATAGGGGCTCTGGGACTTCATCCCAGGCCAGAAGGAGGATCCATGGATTCTGAGCAGAGGAATCAAGCCAATATTCATTTCTAAGCCATCTTGCCTGCTGCCCTGTGGCTGACCTTCTAGGAAGCCCAGATGCTGTGTCAAGCCACCCCTGCACCCCAGTCATCTGTTCATTGGGGTGTTTTTGCATCCTCCTCCTGGACTGTGTGTGTGTGTGTGTGTGTGAGAGAGAGAGAGAGAGAGAGAGAGAGAGAGAGAGAGACTGACCCATGGCTTCATGCATCTATAGGCAAGCACCCTATCATTAAGCTAAATTCCCCAGCTCTTTTGAAATTGTTTTATTAGGTGTCCAAACTGGCCTTGATCCTCCTGCCTCAACCTTCCAAGTCAACAGGGTCACAGGCATGAGCTCTCCAGAGCAGGGCTAACCTCTGGTCAACGGGCTTTATCCCCACCAGCCAGCCCAGGGAGCTGTTCAAAAACGTAACGAACTAATGGACAGGATGAGCCTGAACCAGAACTACCCTCACCCCCGGGGACAAGGCAGCCTGAGGAGGCCTTTCATGTTCTCCATAAGTTACAAAGTTCAGGGTTTTAGTGAAGCCCCAACTCAGGGAGGCCTTGGGAGCAGAGCTGACATAGCATTGATGTCCACATGCAGTCAGCACACAGCATGATACCACACAGGACCTGCCCATGGTCATCACGTGAAAGACCAGAAACAAAAACCAAAAGATTTCACAGTTGTAAGCAAGGAGGAGCAGAAGCTTCCAGGCACACAACATGCATTTCACATGCAATTCCCACAGAATCCGCCCTGGGGGGGGGGGGGACAGTTACAGGTCCATTTTACAGATGAGGAAACTGAAGCTCTAAAATGGAAGGTCTTAGCAAGGCATGCAAAAGCCAAGACTAGCACACAGCCTAAGTTCTGGCTGTGTATGGTCTCTCTGGGATTAAGAGAGTTTTCCAGAAATTTCTTTTAAACTGTTTTAGACTGACATATTTCATCAGATGTCTGTCAGGCCAGCAGTGGGAGCTAACACACCGATTCTCAGAGGCTCAGAGGCTGTTCTCCTTCCTCGGCAGATTCACATGCTCAGTCCCCCGCCCAAGCCTGGTGGCTTAGCCCAGGCACCAGTGGAAGCTCCCTGGCCTTGGGTTGGCATACTGCAGGTRCTCAGTATAGTGGGTGAACGAGGAGAATCTGAACTGGCTTGAGAGAACCACAAGGGAGAATATTCCGGTAGCTTTCCCACGTGCTGGGCAGTGCTGAGCACATTAGCCACGTTAACCCCGTCCTTCTCAGGATGCTGTGAGGCGACTGCAGTGGTGGTCCCCAAACACAGGTAGAGAACCAAGCTCAGCCCAGGGAGTACTCAGCCTGGGATTCCAACCCCTGGAGTGCCCGGAGGCAACCCCATGCACTGGCCAAGTGCAGGTGGGCAGAAACACCGTGGTCAGAGGAACCGTGGCTTATACTCCTCAAGGACATGCCAAGTGGGGTACCCCCCATGCCTGATGACTGCTCCTTCCATTTTCAACCCATCTCTGAGGCAAACAGCAGCAACACCTGCATGGCGCCACCTCAGCCCAAGTTTTGTGTCTCCCCAGTCCCCTCCTCTCGTGGTGGCCTCTGGGCTCCCACCTTTATAACCTGCTCAGGTTGCGTGTGAAAAGAACCTTGAACAAACTCCCTAAGCTCTGGGGCCTCAGCTTTTTTTTTTTTTTTTTTTTCTGTACAGTGGGGACACTGACATCACCCGTTGGGGGTGGGGGCTGCATCCCACACGCTTTACCACCTTGCGCTAAAGGCCATTTCTCTTAGGTGCCCCGAGAGGTGGAACTGTTCGCCTCAAGAGCCCCAGGCTCAGGGAAGGGCACCCCCAATCACCTACCCCAGAGCAGTGGGTGGGGCAGGGGTGAGCTGGTTCCAAGATGGTAATGCTGGGGAGGGAGTGAACTGCCCATCCTYGTGCAATTAGCTGCCGGCTGTATGGGCTCCCCGTGGACACCCGCACCTGGGTATTCCCTGCATGCAGTACATGACAAGGTACTGGATGGTCCAGGGCCCTCAGGATGCCCCCTGGGGACCACCCTGCTGCCAAACCCTCTGGGTCCCCACCCCAGCCTAGGTGCCCTGCTAGTGGGGCTGGGAGAGCACCGTGAGGGGCCCCTCTGCAGGCTGCCTGCAGTGCGGGAGGAAGGAAAACCAGGGGGCCGACGACACCACCCCACTTTTGTGGACACCGTCCAAGACATTCAGCAACAGGAGCATCACCACCCCTTAGAGCAGCAAGGGACCTAAGAGGTGGACAGACCCAAGTCCCCATTATATGTACGGGGAAACTGAGGTCCAGGATGGTGACTAAAACATGCTTGAGAGCTGGGTGTGTCAGTGACTCTGCCATGTAAGGGGGGTGCCTGGCCCCACAACTCATCTGCAGTGGTGGGTGGGCCCTACTGGCCCTCAAGACTCTAGTCCTCCACCATCCACTGGTCTTGCCCACACTAACCAAAGGCACAGGTTTAGCCTCATCTGGAAAATACCAACTCCCTGGGCCTCTTTTCCTGCATACTTTCAGCTCCGGGATGCCCAGGGCCCCACCCTGCTCACACATAGCTCAAAGCAGGGAAACCATTAAACAAGCTAAGATAGGTGGCTGGGCACCGCCTGCCCAACTCAGTAATGGCTTCTAAAATCTGAACTATYATTACCACCAGCACAATAATCATCCCATTTTACAGCCAGGAACCTGAGGCATGGAGGGACTATGGCATTGGCCCACAGATACTGGGTGCTGAGGCTTCCCTGTGCGAGGCTGCCTTTTCTTAAGCTAACAATGTTGTGTGTGTGTTGGGGAGGCACGGGATTGAACTCTGGGGTGCTCTACCACTGAGCATCTGTGCTACATCCCTAGCCTTTTTTATATTTTGGGACAGGGTCTTACTAAGTTGCCAAGGCTGGCCYTGAACTTGTGATCCTCCTGCCTCAGCCTCCCAAGTAGCTGGGATTACAGATGTGCACCACCCTGCCCAGCTAAGCTTCCTATCAAGTGCCCCCTAGGAGCCATGCTCTGGGCTGAGTGCTCTCTAAGAATTTAACTCATGTCACCTTTTCCACAGCCCTGTGATATGGGTGCTACTATTAGCCTAGGACACCAAGACTCTAAGAGGGCAGGTGATGTGCCTAGGGCCATACAGCTTGGGGCCAAATCACCTCGGCCCCTATTCCTTGGTCCTCTATACTGCCATCTCAGTCAGGGATAGGGCTGGGGACTGTCACCCCAGCCTCTTTTAGGAGCTTCCTATCACCTCAGGGACCAGCCTGGAGAAACTGCTTTAAGAGCCCTCACCAGAGGCAGGCCCTTGACCAGGCCTCCAAACTGCTTCCCCCAAAACCTTGGCCCCAGCTCAGAATGTGGCCTAGGCCAGCCCTAGGCCCCAGGAGTCCAGAAATTTCAAATTAAAAGAATCCAGCATGAGATTCTGGGTTCAATCCCAGCATGGGGGAGATAGAAAAAAAAAAAATCCGGGCTAGTTCTCAGAGTGTGGGACCACCTGGGAATCCCCACACCACAAAGCAGCTTGAAGAGCCTGGCCGGGGAGGAGCCAGGACAAGCCAGCTCTGCAGGATCCTGGAGAATGTGTCCACAGTAAGTTGCTAAGAGCCGAGATGTTTGGGAAGATCTCACCTAGTCTGTCAAGTCAGCTCATCCTTCCTCCAGAACTGGCTCCCAATGCCAAAGAACTGGGCGCCCTCTTCCAACCCTGTTCACCCTCTTTGACATGCCTAAGACCCCCTGGAAGCTCTGCTCTCGAGCCCATCTCTAGTGGCACAACCTCCCTTCTTTGCCTGGCAGACTTCTCCCTACACTTCAAAGACTACCTCCTCTGGGAAGCCTCTCTAGATTGCCCTGTCAGAATTCACAAGGGGACCCAGGGAGAGCATTTTTTATCTTGCTCCAAGTTACCATTAACACAGCTGCCATTAATTGAGTAACTGCTGTGTGCAGATGCAGTACCTGTGGTCTCCTTAATACCCATAAGGAAGGGATCACCACTCCTACCTTTTAAAACTGCAGCTCTGAGACTAAGTAACTTGCCCAAGATCACATAACTAGAGCATAACTAGTTGCATCCAGGAAGGCTACAACTTAGGTCTGGCTCATTGGAGTGGAGGTGCCTGGAGGTGGGGGGTGTACTGTGCTTTTCCCACCTCTGTCTGCCAGACAGGCTACCAGCTCCAAGTGGGCAGGCACTCTGAGGACCTGGATAGGGTAGAGGGGGCTGACAGGGACCAGCTGGCCCTCACTGTGGATGCCCAGCCTGGTGCTCCCAGCACATCTGGCCAGGAGGCACTCCAGCCGAGGGCTTGGAATGGACCAACACCGTGGCCTTCGGGAAAGACTCTCCATACCTCCCTCCTTTCCCATCTGGCACACAGAGTCCATGAGGCACCAGAGCCCCACAGGTCATCAGGGTGGCTAAGCCCCAAAGCTAAGTCCATTCAAGCAGGCAACTGCTCTTCCTCACAGCCCCTGGTGCCCCAGCTCAGGTTCCATGTCGCCTCTCATGTGCATGGCTGCACATGCCAGACCCTGTGGGGGAAATGCCCCTTTGTGTGGGTTTGTCCAAAGTGAGCCCATTACACTGTCAAGGATGGGGGCAGGGTGGAGCCACTCCATCCTGGTGGTACCTCTTCCTGGGAGATCTCCAAGTCTGTTCCCCTGAGCTGCAGGAACAAACCCCTGCTCAGTTTTGAGCAGGTGCCAGAGATGCAGAGGGGATGCCTGAAAAGTCAGTGGACTGAAGGACACCCACCCAGGCTCCATAACCAAAGGCCCAGCAGAATGACAGATCCACYGCAGTGTGACCAGGAAGACAAGAGGGCCCAGTGGTAAACAGGGTGCAAGCCCCCAGCCCACCCAGGGTAAGGGCAAGGGAGGCTTCCTGGAGGAGGGACTGAGTCCAGAGGATTAGACCAGGCAAAATAGGAGGTGGTGAGGTCCAAGAGAAGGACCAGCTCTG